TGCCCCTCCCCTGGTCGTGTGCTCTCTCTCTCTCTCTCTCTTTCTCAATAAATAAATAAATAAATAAATAAACAAATAAATAAATAAATAAATAAATATTTACAAAATTAATTTAAGAAATGGGCCATCTTTGGGTCCTGGGAATCTTCATACAATAAGAATAGTAGGCTCAGGCTGTCCGGTTTCTTAATGATATACACTGTGTTCTCTCAAAGGCCATTCTAGACTAACTAGAAACAGGAAAGTGAATTCTGGAATCCCTAAACTATTTTGGAACTCCAGACCTAGAAGTATACAGGGAAGAAAAATGCCTCATGGCATAAATAAACTGGCACTTTGCAAATCAACATATTTGATTATTGTTACCTGTGGAGTGCAGAGGGGTTAAAATGTCAAAGGCTAGTACTAAGAGATAGAGTACCTCTTTGTATCAAGGTATTACTATTTTTATTCTAGCTGAAAACAGAGTTCTTTATAGTCCAAATTGTAGAATCTAAACTTCTTTTAAATAATAAAAGCTAAATGGTAAAAGTTATTGTTAATACCATGTACTAGGCACTATTCTAATTTCATTTAAGGTTCATTTCTTTTTAAGTGTTTATTTATTTTTGAGAGAGAGAGAGAGAGAGAGGCCCCAAAGTGTGAGTGGGTGAGGGTCAGAGAAAGAGGGAGACACAGAATCTGAAGTAGGCTCCAGGCTTTGAGCTGTCAGCACAGAGCCCGATGTGGGGCTCGAACTTACAAACTGTGAGATCATGACCTGAGCTGAAGTCGGCCACTCAACCTACTGAGCCACCCAGGCATCCCCCACTTAGGGTTCATTTAAACCTCACCAGAACTCTATGATTTAATAACTCTGATTATCCCTATTTTACAGAAGAAGAAACTGAGATTCAGTGTGATTAAGTAGCTTGACCAAGGTTATTGGCATAGACTGAATGTAAATTCATATGTGGAAGTTCTGATACCCAGGGGTATTTAGAGGTGGGGCCTTTGGGAGTTAATTAGGTTTAGATGAGATCATAAGGGTGAGGCCCTGATGATAGGATGATCCTTATTCTCTCTCTCTCTCTCTCTGCCAGGTGAGGACTCAATGAGAGGGTACCCATCTGCAAGTCAGAAAGACAGTTCTCTACAGGAACCAAATCTGCTGGCACCTTGATCTTGGACTGTGAGAAATAAATATCTGTTGCTTAAGCCACCCAGTGTGTGGTATTCTGTTACAGCAGTCTAAGCTGACTAAGATAGTTACACAACTAGTAAATGCCAGAGCTATTACTGGAACTTGATCAGTCTAGTTTAGGGACTGAGTTCTTTTTTTTTTTTTAAGTTTGTTTTTTATTTATTTTGAGAGAGAGAGAGAGAGAAAGCGCAAGCGGGAGAGGGGCAGAGAGAGAGGGAGAAAGAACCCCAAGCAGGCTCTGCATTATCAGCACAGAGCCCAGCCTGGGGCTCGATCCCACGAACTATGAGATCATGACCTGAGCTGAAATCAAGAGTCAGACACTTAACCAACTGAGCCACCCAGACGTAGAGACTGTGTTCTTAACTGGTAAGCTTTATATAAGTTAGAGGTTTAGTCATCTTCCACAAATATGGGTTCCAGAAATTAAAATAAAGGGAAACACAGTGAATGACAAGATAGAGGAAAGCATATTTTCACAATAAAGACTATTAGTATCAAGACAAATTACAATAAAAGTTTAATTAAAAGTGAGAAGATGGTCTCCAATAATAGTGTTTAGAAAGAGAAACTTCTACTACAAACCTGGAATATTGTGTTTATAGTAGTTTAGTTATTATAGTTTTATTGGAACTGTATGGTTGAGTGAAAAGCTCACTGCACAGGGAATCAAAAGAACTAGATTCCTGCTGTTTTGCCAGTAACCAGCTAAGTGAGCTTGAGAAAACTACTACATTTCTAGGCTCAAGTTTCTGAGAAATACCACTCATACTTCTGGAAAAGGCACTGTAGGAAAAAGGATACTTTTTTTTATCACAGGAGAATCAATATTAGCATCAAGACTATTGATCATATCCCTATTTGAAAAGTACAAGGTAAATAAAAAATTAGAAGAGACAAGACTGATTGATTCCAGTAAGTGATCAAATTAAGTAGGTGATTAAATTAGGTGAGTAGTGAGGACTGAGAAACAATGCCAAAATTATAAAGAAAAGTTAAAAAAAAAAAACCTGTCAGTAAAATTAAGCAAACCTACGTGTCTCATCATCTTTTGCATCCAGGTAAGCTGGGACAGCTAGGTATTTTAATAACTTTTGTAAATTGCTCTATTTCACCAGAGATACTATTAAATAAGTTAGCATTTGGTTCAAGTCAATTCAATTCAACCTCCATTTACAGGCTACCTTCAGAGATGATTTGCCCTGAAACAAATGAAATCTGAGCTTTATTCAGGTCCCTGACTTGCACAGACACTGGGAGCACTGGAGCTGCTGGGAATGTGTTATTCTGGTTGGGAGGCACAAACCAGATTGCACACAGAAAACATTTCTATTTAGGTGTTGTTGTTGTTGTTGTTGTTGTTTTGTAAATTGCCTACGCGTTCACAGAAGAAATGACCTGAATCTCCAAGGCCTTATTCATTTGTTTGATTTCTCTTTTGCATTGTAAATACTCACTTTAGAACCTAATTTTGTGTCCATACGGTTACATTCTTTTTCTTTAAGCACCCGTCCTCCCTGCCCTCACCCAGTTATGTCAGTTTCAAATATCAGTACTGCTGTGCCCACCTTGTGTTATACCTTGAACTAACAGGGATACAAAGATGAAGGAGCTCACAGTTTTATAGGAAGAATGCAGAATTAGATATGAAACAGTACTGGTCTAGTGGTAGAAACAAAGTGTAACAGAGGCACATAGAACAAAACATTTAACAATACTAATTTATCACAGTGTCCTTATCTTCCGAAAGGTATCAAACTATCAAAAACTTCTCAGAGAGTTGAAGAAATTCTGAACCTTGTGAAGTAGCCTATGGCCTGGTATTTTTTTTCTTTATTTTTTGGGAGAGCACAAGTTGGGGAGGAGCAGAGAGAGGGGGACAGAGGATCTGAAATAGACTGTGTCCTAACAGGCTGATAGCAGTGAGCCCAATGTGGAGCTCAAACTCACGAACTGTGAGATCATGGCCTGTGCCGAAGTCAGACGTTCAACGAACTGAGCCATCCAGGTGCTCCTATGGCCTGGTGTTTCTTAAGCTACCACTTTATAAACTTTTTTGACTGTGATCTGCAGTGTAGTCCATGTTAGTGTTCATCAAATATGCTACATGATACCCTACATTTTTCAGCCTCCCTTGCAGTTAAGTTAGAGGCGTGTGCCTATTCTGGTCAATGGGTCACGAAAGGAAGTGATTGTATTGTTTCTGGTTCAAGTCTCTTAACACTGATTCAGTCAGTGAGAGTCCTCTGAACTTGCTCTAGAAAGATTTGAAGCCCAGAAGCAAAGAACCAAGATAGAGTAGTTGAAAGATGAAAATATGCCAGATCCTTGAAGATCTGGAGGACAACTACCAAAGTCAATATAATCCATATCAGACTTTATGGTAGTGATATGTGACATATAAAATATTTTTATGTTAAGCTACTGACATGTGTTTGACATCCTGACCATACACATACACATAATTTAATCAAAATTTAAAATTCTGTTATAATACTACTTGCTATTTCTGACATACCTGATATTTTATTCCATTCAGGAAAATATTTATCTAACTTACAATGTCACCACCCCCTATTTCGTCTCCACCCATAATGTGAAAAATAATGTCTTTTTTAAAAAATAGTTTTTCTTGGGGCACCTGGGTGGCTCAGTTGGTTAGGCATCCAATTCTAGATTTCGGCTCAGGTCGCCATCTCACAGTTTAGTGGTATTGAGCCATACATGGGGCTCTGTGCTGCCAGCACCAAGTCTGCTTGGGATTCTCTCTCTCCCTCTCTTGCGGACCGCCCCCCCCATTAATAAATAAATAATAAATAAGCTTAAAGAGTAGTTTTTCTCTAATTTTACCTTTACAATTATTTTTGTTCAAATATAATTAACATACAGTATTCTGTTAGTTCAGATTTACAATATAATGATTCAACAATTCTGTACATTACTCAGTGCTCATCACTGATATGTGTACTCTTAAACCTCCCCCACTCACCTCCTCTCTGGAATCACCTGTTAGTTCTCTATATTTAAGAGTCTGGTTTTTTGTCTCTTTTTTCTGTTTCTTAAATTGCACACGAAATGAAATCATATGGTATCTTTCTCTGACTTATTTCACTTAGTTGGAAAATAATGTCTTAAGCTACTCACAACACTGGTCTTCTGTGAACAACTTTTAGGTGTATTCAATTATTTATAAAAATAAGCTTTAATAATAAATGCAATATCACAACATAAAGAATGAGAAATACAGATTATTTCATCTCGTAAAATTAAATTATTGCATTTTGGGCTGTATGTTTCTATTTGGTACATATATATGAATACACCACATGCATATATATAATAAAGGAAAAATGTTTTTCACTGTTCTGCAAAACTGGTAGTCTCTGGCTTTGAAAAGCACTGCTGCTCCAGAAGTTTGCAATCCAGTCCAAAAGGACTCCATTCAGAACGTATTCGGCTTAATGCCATTAAATTTTGGTGGGTCCTTGAGGATAATCTTTATTTTTATTTATTTATTTATTTATTATTTATTTCTTGAGGACAAAATAATCTTTATTCCTCTTTCCAACAGCAGGTCAAAGAACTGAAGTCAGGAAATCTTATATCTTAATTAAGTGCCATCGTGGAGGCCTGTAAAATGAAATAACAAAATCCCAAACCAGCCTACTTGCCCTCTCTAATCCCCGCTCAGTGAATGGAAGTTGCTCAGGGAAAACAGCTCGCGGGTTCCAGGCCGGAACTGGTAGAAAGCTCTCGCGAGAGCCTTCCGACCGCCGCGAGTCTTCTGTGAGCACCAGTTCCCGCCCCTTCTGCGCCCACAGGCCGTCTGCTCCCCACCGGCTTCATCCGCTACGGCTACGGCGGGGCGAGCCGGAACTTTTATCCATAGGAACGGGTTTACAGTGTAGAGTGTTGCCGGCCGGCCTCAAGGAGATTAGAGTGCCGTCCTCTTCCTCTCACCGTAGCCGCCGCGGAGCGGTGCCGAGCCGATCAGATCCAGGAGCGCAGTTACCGGGCGGGCTGGGTCTATGGTCGCTCCGCGGGCCGCTCCGCCGGCTGGTGCTTTTTTTTCAGGGCAAGCTGTGTTCCATGGCAGGGAACTTTTGGCAGAGCTCCCATTAGTAAGTGATCTTCCGTCTTCTCGCCCGGGGTTGCTTCTTGGGAGTCGGTGAGGACCGGGCCTGCGACTCCCCTTGGCCTGGATCCCGGCCCCTGTCCCGAGCGCCGTGGGGTCTCCCGGGAGGCGGCAGCGGCTGGAAGCGGGACGCGCTTTTCTCTGGCGACTCCCCTCTCCCCGCCCCCTGGCAGCATTTGGTTGGGGGGCGGTGGTCTGTGCGCGGGAAAGGGCGGGGGCTAAGGAGGTTCGGTCTCAGAGGAAGGAAGGAGTGTAACTTCGGATTCTTGGATAAGCTAGGCCTGGAAGAGGGGTGGGTTGGGATGGGATGGGCACAGGTATGGGAAGTGTGGCATAGTTCGGGACTGTGAGGCGGGCTCTTCAGGACAGTTATGGTTCGCTTTTGCCTGGACTCTCTTCGGGGAATCGGCATTGTAATCTTTTGTCATTCACCTTCTGTCTTGAATGGATTTAATATTCTGTGGAGAGTCAGGCTTGTTTCTGCTCTCTAACCAGTTCCTGCCATTACCTTATGCCTAGATGGAGTTGTATGTTGGTGAGGTGTAGGGCAGGTGCTCTCAAGATGTATCCATTAGTCTGTGCCTTATATTTGGTTGTAAACACGTATTTCCCAGAGACTGCTGATTTCTTTAACATATTTCATGAATTCGGGTTTGTTTTTGCTAGTGACCGTGGAAGAACTAGAGTAATATTAAAAATATTTTCCCCTAAATACATTTAAGTAGGCAGAAAGGTGAGTGATGGGACTAATTGATTAGGTTTTCCACTGTACGGTTGAAAGATGAACAGAAGCTGGTGCTGTTATATTTTAGTGTGTGTGTGTGTGTGTGTGTACACATATATATATGTATATATTAATGCTAAGAGAGCATTAGTAATTGTAATTTAAATTTTGATTCTGTGAAAAAAGATGAATTCCTATTCATTCTTTTTTTAGTCCTTTGTGCGAAAACAAAAATGGTTTTGGAAACCTTTTTTCAGGAAAGCAGGTTATCCTCTTGCTATGAAGTGATTCTGTGGAGATGAAATTGTGTGGAAGCTCTACCTCTGATCATATTTGTATTTTGCAGTTTTGCTCACTGCCATATTTGCTTGGGCAAAATTAAAATACAGAAAATTTAATTAGTGGAGAAGAGTAGTATTTTGATAAACTTTGAAAGAAAGTGAGAGAGAATTAACAGGGAGCTAGCTGTTGATTATCAAAAGCTACAGTCATTTTTCTCAACTAAAAAAAAAAGATCTGCCCACCTTTTTATTTTTTTTTAATTTTTTTATTTTTTTTAAATTTTTTTAACGTTTATTTATTTTTGAGACAGGGAGAGACAGCATGAACGGGGGAGGGTCAGAGAGAGAGAGGGAGACAGAGAATCCGAAACAGGCTTCAGGCTCCTAGCTGTCAGCACAGAGCCTCACGTGGGGCTCGAACTCACGGACCGCGAGATCATGACCCGAGCCGAAGTCGGATGCTCAACTGACTGAGCCACCCAGGTGCCCCTGCCCACCTTTTTAAAAAGAGTATTTATTTAGTTTTTTGAGAGAGATAGAGCTCAAGAGGGGGAGGGGCCGAGAGAGAGGGAGACAGAATCTGAAGTAGGCTCCAGGCTTGGAGCTGTCAGCACAGAGCTTGATGCGGGGCTCGAACTCCTGAACCCCAAGATCATCACCTGAGCCAAAGTCAGAGGCTTAACAGACTGAGCCACCCAGGCACCCCTGCCCACCTTTTGATAAGTGTTAATTATGCTTTCACTTATTGTTGGCATAATGACAACATTTAGGGGGTAGGATCTATAACAATTGTTTCTTCACTTTTGAAATATAAAATTGTTAAAATATTAAGTGTGCTTTTTTGGAAATGTCCTTGTCTCCCAATTCAAGTAGTCCTGCAGGAAAGGGCTACTCAGATCTCTTGAGAATTATGAAGTGCCTCGTCTGCAAAAGGTTACAATGAAAAAAGACAAGGCAATCAATTCTGAAAAAACAAACCAACAAAAAGATTACAAAAACCATTGTTTTAGGTGATTTTTTGAAGACGAACATCTTAACATTTCTAAAATGAGCATGGCAATTTTTTTTTCTTAGTAGCACATGAAATAATGGTGAGCCATATGAACAATGTAATCTTACGTTTTATGAAAGTTGGTATTATAAGTGTTTGTGGTTTATCCTCCGTACTATGTGCTGTGAAGAAAACTTAAGATATTTGATTGTGAAGATTATCTTTCTAAAAACACTGACTGTGAGGATGAAATTAATAATGCTAGAACAGGATGAATCACAGTATTTTCTAGGAAGTTGAATACAACACATTCTTTGACCTTACTGCATTAAAAGGAGAATGGCATTGGGGCCCCTGGGTAGCTCAGTCGGTTAAGCGTCCAACTTCGACTCAGGTCACGATCTCGCGGTCCGTGAGTTCGAGCCCCGCGTCGGGCTCTGTGCTGACAGCTCAGAGCCTGGAGCCTGTTTCGGATTCTGTGTCTCCCTCTCTCTCGGCCCCTCCCCCGTTCATGCTCTGTCTCTGTCTCAAAAATAAACATTAAAAAAAAAAAGGAGAATGGCACTAAATATTAGCTGGTTGACTGAATGAATTAATGAACAGATAACAGAAATACAAAAGTACAAAATCAATTCTGGATGTTATTGTATCAGAGGAAACTGAAAATACAGTTACATAATATCAAGGAAATAACTTAATGAGATCAATATATGTCCATACTTTTGGGATGTAGCCAAAGTCAAAGTTATAAACTAACATCCTGAAAAACTGAGAAAGAATAAAAATAAATCGAAATATTCTACTTAAGAATATTAAAAAGGAAACAGTGAAATAAATCCGAGGGGAAAAAAGGAAAGACTTAAAGGTAATACCGATATTAACATTTTATTTTTTTTATATTTATTTAATTTTGAGAGAGAGCGCACAGGGGAGTGGCAGAGAGAGAAGGGGACAGAGGATCCCAAGCAGGCTTTGTGCTGACAGCAGTGAACCTGATGCGAGGCTCAAACCCACAAACTGCTAGATCATGACCTGAACCAAAGTCAGATGCTTAGCCAACTGAGCCGTCCAGACGCCCCCGATATTAACATCTTGAAAGGAAAAAAGTAGTCAGAAATTATAAGAGTTGGTTCCTTAGAAGGGAAAATCAAAACAGTAGACTGAACTGCTACTAGTTGAAGCAAGGGAAAAAGATATGATACAAAAATACAAAATTAGGAATGAGAAAAGTAAATAAATTCAGATGTACCTTTGGGTTATCTCCATGGGAATAAGTTTGAAAGCCAAAACAAATTAAGAAAGTTACCAGAGAGCTACTCCTTAAAAAATGCTCCAGGCCCACGTTATTTCATGGGTAAATGTTTTCCCATTTTCAAGAAGATCTGCTATTGAAATTATTCCAGTTCACACAGAAAGCTTTCCAGTTCTTTTTATGTGAAGTTACAATAACACTGATAAAATCTAGCAAAGGTAGCACTAAAAACAGTCTGACTTTTGAATATCGATGCAAACATCATAAAGTATTCCCAAGTAGAGTCTAACATTACATTAGAAATATAAAAAATGATAATGATTTTACTATAGAAATATAGTCAACATTTGGAAATCTGTTAATAAACAGTGAAAGCGTCAAGACCTCTTTTAAAATTCAACATCTGTTCTTGACCAAAACAAATAGTATGGTTTCTTAACAGGGTAAGAACATCAGAGCATCAACAAGAGATATTTAATGGTAAAACAGGAAAATTAGGGGGCCTGTTTAACATTGTTCTGAAAATGCTACTCAATGCAGTTAATAGAATGAGATGTAAAAAATGACAAAATTACCAGTATATAGCAATAAAATTTAAGAAAATTCAGTTAATTGAGAAATTATTATAAATAAAGGTTTAATGAGGTAACCAGTTACATAATGTAAAAATGGAAAGCTTTCTTTTAGATAAATGATGGGGGAACGTGGCTCAGTAGGTAGAGCACCCATCTTCAGCTCAGGTCATGATTTTGGGGTTCCTGAGTTCGAGCCCCACATCAGACTCACTGCTGTCAACCTGTCAGCTCTCTGCAGAGAGTTGCCTTCAGATCCTCTGTCCCCCTCTTTCTGCCCCTCCCCTTTGCATTCTCAGAAATAAACATTAAAATAAACATATTTTAAAAATAAATGAATGATATAAAAATATAATTACAGTAGCAACAGAAAATATGAAATACACAGGAGTAAACAAACATACAGGACCTATAGGAAGAGATTTTTAAATTTTGTAGTGGAACAAAGATTTTAATAAATGGAGTTTGAATTCTAACCTTGTAAAAATAGCATTTCTTCCACTATTGATCTCATTAATGCAAGCCCAAACAATTTTGAATGGATTTCCTTTAAAAGTTCCTTTTGGGACTTGATAACAATGTTTTTAAAAGTTCAGGTCTCAGAATAATAATTGTAATAGAATATCAAGCAATTTTCTGAAGAATAGTAGCAGGGGAGTATTTTCTGTACCAGATTTTAATTGTTTAGTTTTATGTTTTAAAATAGCATGGCATAGGAATAAGAAAAGAAAAAAAGGAAATTACAAAGATGATCCCAAATACAATAATAGAATTATACATCAAGAAATACTTTAGTCAACATTTGAGTAACCATTTGACAAAACATTTAGCTGGATCCCTGTTTTCTACCTTGTACAAAATATATTCCAGGTGGATCACAAATTGAAAGAAAAAAGCCATATTAGAAAATACAGGTGATTTTTTTTTTAATCATTTTGTGTCAGGAGAGGCCTTTTCATTTGTGACAAACATAAAATCAAAGTAAAATATGGGTTGGTTTTAATAAGTGATCCATATTTCTGTATTACAAACAAATATTAAGAGATCATGCTAAACTTGGGAAATGTTTAGTGTATTTGACAAATGATTTATTATCTATAATATGCAAATTATATGAGAAAAATCTCTGTGAAAAAGACCATCCCATTAGAAAAATTGTCATATTAGGATTACAATGTACAGGGGCGCCTGGCTCAGTTGGTTAAGAGTCCAACTCTTGTCTTTGACTCAGATCATGACCTCAGAGTTCCTGATTTCAATCCCTGTGTCAAGCTTTGTGCTGGCAGCTTAGGGCCTCCTTGAGATTCTGTCTCCCTGTCTCTCTGCCCCTCCCCTGCTTGCTCTCTATCTCCCTTTCAAAATAAATAAAAAATAAACTTAAAAAAAGAAAAGAATTACAGTATACAAAAGAAGGACTTATATTTGGCCAATAGGCCCTGGAAAATGTTTAACCTCAGAAGTAAACTAAAAACAAACAACCCCCATTCCGACCCCCCCCCCCCAGCCAAACAGTAAGATACTACTTTGCCTTTCAGTTCTTTCAGTTGTAAAGTATTTAAAAGCTTGGCAGTAACTTTTGGGGGGGGGGGTAAATATTTTAAGACACCCTCGTACTTTTTTTATTTTTTAAGATTTTAAGTTTATTTATTTATTTGGAGGGGGGGGCAGGGAGAGAAGAAGACTGAGAATTCCAAGCAGGCTCTGTGCCGACATGGGGCTTGAACTCAGGAGTCCTGAGATCCTGACCTAGGCTGAAGTCAGATGATCAGCCAACTGACCCACTCAGGCACCCACCGTCATGTACTTTTCATGGGAATGGAAATTGGTGTCACATATGGACTGCAAACTGCCAATGTATAACAAAGTTATCAGTAAAACTGACCAATTAGTTCTATTTCTAGGAAACTATTTTAAATATTAACTAAATATACAGGGTGAATTACAAAGCTAGTCATTAAAACATTATTTTTAATAGTGAAAAATTATAACCTATCTGCCTATTAATAGGAATTAATAAATAATAATACATCCATAAAGTTGTGCAGCAATTTAAAAGGATGCTGAATAACAAATCTGTTGACATAAAAAGACTTTCAGTACATACTGAATGACAAAAGCAAGTTGCAGAATAGTTTTATGGGTCATATCAATTTCATATGTCTGGTTAAAAATAGTAGACTTGACTAGGCAGATGGAGGAGGCTATTAGTGTAATAAATCCTGAAACAGCTTTTAACATGATTGGAATTTGTGAAGTAGGGAAATTAAATACTCCAGTTACTCATGAACAACTGAGAAAAGATACTTCAAATCTAAGGTATCATCATTTGGTGTCAAATAACTTGACCATTATTTTATGTATCACTAAGAAAAAATAAATGTACTAGCAGTTAAAAGCCTAAGGCATCACTGACTGTAAGATCTCTTTTGATATCAGAGTCTTAAAACCAATGAAATGTAGTATACGGTAGAGAGAGAACGAGAGAGACTGAGAAAATTAGAGTGGAATTTTTTTCAGAACATATTTACATTCATTAGTGAGATAATTCTCTTTTCTTTAATTTATTTTCACTGGGGGAGAAAGAGAGCTAGAGATCATGGGAGGGGCAGAGAGAGAGGGGGAGAGAGAGAGAGAGAGAGAGAGAATCTTAAGCAGGCTCCGAACTGTCAGCACAGAGCCTGTTTCAGGGTTCACCCACAAACCATGAGCTCATGACCTGAGCCCAAATCAGGAGTCAAATGTTTAACCAACTGAGCCACCCAGGTGCCCCAATGAGATAATTCTCAGTGTTGGAATTTCAAGAAATGTGAAAAATACTATCTTCTGAGTTACTTCTTGCACTTTGTATTTCTCAGAATGTTTATAACTTGTTCAATCTTAGAATGTTTTTTTGTGACTTTATTAGTTGATTCTCTGTAGCGTGTTTTAACATCTTTGTTTCTTTTAGTTTGCAATGGATTTTGGATAAACAAGATCTGTTGAAGGAACGCCAGAAGGACTTAAAGTTTCTCTCAGAAGAAGAGTATTGGAAATTACAAATATTTTTTACAAATGGTAAACATTTAAAAAAATGAAATAGTATAGTTGGTCACTTCTGAATTCAAACTTTTGTATAGTAATTTGTGATGAGTTGTTTTAGTCCATACTTAACATTTCTACTTTTTTTAAATTTTTAAAACATTTTTTTAATCTCTATTTTTGAGAGACAGAGAGAGAGAGAGAGAGACAAGAGTACAAGCAGGGGAGGAACAGAGACAGAAGGAGACACAGAATCTGAAGCAGGCTCCAGGCTCTGAGCTGTCAGCACAGAGCCCGATGTGGGGCCTGAACTCACGAACAGTGAGATCATGACCCAAGCCAAGGTCGGATGCTTAACCCACTGAGCCACCAGGCACCCCGTACTTAAAATTTTTATTTATACATGTATTCTTTTTATAACTTATATTCACTTATCTTTCTTTTTAAGTGATCTAAATAAAGTCTTATGAATCTTACATATCAGAGATACTCAAAACAGTTTGAAAGTGTTCATTGATTGCCCTAAGTCTTTATAATGCATTATTAAGCCCAATTTAGGATTGGCTAAAGCAAATATTTTGGGGATAAATGGAGTCTTTGGATTGAGATCCTATATTGGTCATTCTTATCTTACAAGTTTGCTTTGGAGGGAAGGGGATTTAGAGTCAGAAGATCCTTGCTCTGTCACATGGTAGCTTTGTTACATGATTTTTCTAACCCTCTGTGCACTGTTCTGCAAACCTGTCTCTGTTGTTTTAAGGATTCATTATGGACTTTTTAATAAACTTTATAAAGTGGTAGTTATAGTGAGTTTGATAGCTGTTTAATGTTTTCTTTTTATATTCTAAAGATACTATGAAAAGCATTGAGATACCTATCATCCAGAGGGAAATACCTGTCATTTAGCCTTCTTAATGTAAGAATAGTGTTTGCTCTGGGGCAATTTCTATTTTTTATTGTTTTTATGCATACCTATATATTTTTTAACAGATTTGCAAATCCTAGTACTAGTCCATTGTGATCCAAATAGAGTTTATAGCATATGTAGGTTTTTCTTTTTGTTAAAAATTAATATAGTCATGATTTAATCACATGGAAGTTATTATTCAATGTCAATATTATGATATCAGAAGATACATTTAAAACTTTATTTTTCTTCTAGTTATTCAAGCATTAGGTGAACATCTTAAATTAAGACAACAAGTTATTGCCACTGCTACAGTCTATTTCAAGAGATTCTATGCCAGGTAGGACTTTTATTTTGGGAATATGTTATACCTATTTGAAACTCTTATGTAATGTTGATGAACCTTAGTGCAACTAAATCATGTGTTTATCGTAGAGTTATCTTCATTTTTTTCCAGTGTGTTTTTTTGTTAATTTTTTTTTTTAATTTTTTTTTTTCAACGTTTATTTATTTTTGGGACAGAGAGAGACACAGAGCATGAACGGGGGAGGGGCAGAGAGAGAGGGAGACACAGAATCAGAAACAGGCTCCAGGCTCTGAGCCATCAGCCCAGAGCCTGATGCGGGGCTCGAACTCCCGGACCACGAGATCGTGACCTGGCTGAAGTCGGACGCTTAACCGACTGCGCCACCCAGGCGCCCCTTTTTGTTAATTTTTTAAAAATGTTTGTTTATTTTTGAGAGAGAGAGTACGAATGGGGGAGGGGCAGAGAGAGAGGGAATCTGAAGCAGGCTCCAGGCTCTGAGCTGTCAGCACAGAGCCTGAATCAGGGCTCAAACTCATGAACCGTGAGATCATGACCTGAGCTGAAGTCAGACGCTTAACCAACTGAGCCAGCCAGGTGCCCCTCCAGTGTGTTTTTATATGAATGACATTTAACTCTATCTTATCATATTTTTAGGTATTCTCTGAAAAGTATAGATCCTGTATTAATGGCTCCTACATGTGTGTTTTTGGCATCCAAAGTAGAGGTATGAAATAGTTTTCTGTTCTTCATCAAAGTGTAGTCCATGTGCATTGGTTAATCTATATCAAAATAATGGCAAAATACTGAAACTCATACAAAGTCAAAGATACATGACTATTTTTATTTTTTTTAAGTTTATTTATTTTTGAGAGAGAGATGGAGAGGGTGAGCAGGGAGGGGTAGAGAGAAGGAGAGAGAGAATCCCAAGCAGGCTCTGCGCTGTCAGCACAGAGCCCAATGTGGGGCTTGAACTCACAAACTGAGATCATGACCTGAGACAAAAACCAAGAGTCAGACGCTTAACTGGCTTAACTGAGTCACCCAGGTGCCCCAAGATATACATGTCTTTATATGTTCATTTAACAAACACTTATGTAGCACTTACTATATATACCAAGTGCTATTCTAAGTTCTTTTACAACCATAACTGACTTAATCCTCATAACAAACAATGGGGTTGTGTAATATCCTTAATTGATAAATGAGGAAACTGAGGTACATAGAGATTAAGAAATTGGCCTAAGATTGTAGAAGTCATACGTGGGAGAAGTAGTATTTGTTTTTTTGTTTTTTTGTTTTTAACGTTTATTCATTTTTTGAGAGACAGAGCATGAGCAGGAGAGGGGCAGAGAGACAGGGAGACACAGAATCTGAAGCAGGCTCCAGGCTCTGAGCTGTCAGCACAGAGCCCAGTGCGGGGCTGAAACTCATGAACTGCGAGATCATGACCTGAGCCGAAGTCAGACGCTCAACCGACTGAGCCACCCAGGTGCCCCAGCCCTACCAGTATTGAACCCTGGGAGTCTGGCTACTGATTCCATGCTTTTAATGGCTTTGTTCTGTATCTTCTAAGACATTTACCTTTTGGCACTAAGTAGTAGTCCATACATGCGACAAGCTGGGGACAGCTTCTCTACTATTACCTGAGTTATAGTACCTCCTCCTGTGTCCCTCCTCCATATGCTTCCTTTGTCCTACTGTCTTCCCTCCCTGCCTCCTAATAGTGACTGCCTGCCAAGCCACAGGGAAAGCAGGAGGAAAGGTAAGGATTGGGTGTGGCTCTAGTCATACAGATTCCAGTAAGGAATTGTTAGGGCATTGAGGGTAATTAGGTGAGAGAGAGAGAAGAGAGATGGGAACTTGGAGCTGAAACCAAATCTCTGCTCATTTTATTTATCTTTTCAGTATTTTTGAGAGAGCACAGTTAAAATCTGAACAGTACTAGGAGATACCGACTGATTATCATTATAATACATGTGATCTTTAATGTTATGAAACTTTGTATTGTGTTTCTGAGATGTCTTTAGAATCATAACTGTATTCTTGAAAACTGAATGTAATTTAAGCCTTGTAGGTTTATATTCCTTTTGGTACTCATGCTGATTTAGTTTTGTTTTGGTCATTATTTAGGATTATTCAAGATACCTTTCCCAACTATTACCTAAAGTAATGAGAGTTGACACCATTAGAAATAATATTAAGAAAGACCTTCTAGAGGTTTATGGTTTCCTAATTATAAGTGGTAGTTTAAAGAGGCAGAACTAGTCCTGTTGTTATTACTAAATTCTATAATGGAAAAGGAAGTTGTTTTTTTTTTGTAAACTATTTTTTTCTTTTTTTAATGTTTATCTTTGAGAGAGAGAGAGAGAGAGAGAGAGAGAGCGAGCGAGCAGGGGAGGGGCAGAGAGAGAGGAAGACACAATCTAAAGCAGGCTCCAGGCTCTGAGTTGTCAGCACAAAGCCTGACACAGGGCTCAAATTCAAGAACTGCGAGATCATGACCCGAGCTGAAGTTGGACACTGAACTGTCCCAGCTACCCAGGCGCCCATAATGTTTATTTATTTTTGAGACAGAGAGAGCACACAAGTTGGGGAGGGGCAGAGAGGGGGATAGAGGATCCGAAGCTGGCTCTTTGCTGACAACAGTGAGCCCGATGTGGGGCTCGAACTCACAAACTATGAGATCATGACCAGAGCTGAAGTTGGCCGCTCAACTGACTAAACCACCCAGGTGCCCCTGGTGGAAAAGGAAGTGTTTATAAAAAGCCCATATTATGGGGTGGTTTTTCCAAATATTACCATGTAATTTGATGTCTCTGAAGCATAACCAGTCTGGAAAATCTAAGCAAAATCTTTATGAACTTCTAGTGTAGATTATTGTGGGAATTTTAATTTGTTTTATTTATTAAATATCTTTTGTTATTTGATTTACTATATGAAAGTTTTTACTCTAAGAATTTTGGATGAAGAATTGTTCCTTGATCAGGGTACCTGGCTAGCTCAATTGATAGAGTATAGGACTCTTGATCTTGGGGTCATGAGTTCGAGCCCCTACATTGGGTGTAGAGATTACTTAAAAAAAAAAAAAAAAAAAAAAAAGAATTATTCCTGGGAAAAAATGTATCACTTCATATTTGGTTACAGCATTATGTTTTTTAATCTTTAACTGTGACCACATCTTTCTGTGTTTTGTCCAGTTGTATGGGAATTGTATAGAAATGACTCTTGAGATGTCTCAGGCATTTACTTTTTTTTTTTTTTTTAACGTTTATTCATTTTTGAGAGACAGAGAGAGACAGAGTATGAGTGGGCAAGGGGCAGAGAGAGGGGGAGACACAGAATCCGAAGCAGGCTCCTAGCTCTGAGCTGTCAGCACAGAGTCCGACGTGGGGCTCAAACTAATGAACTTCGAGATCATGACCTGAGCCGAAGTTGGACGCTCAACCGACTGAGCCACCCAGGCGCCCCTCAGGCATTTACTTTTTAGTTTTCGGTGATTATGATTTGAGGTTTAAATGCAAATACACACACACACACACACACACACACACACACACACACTTATACATACCCACTCACCCCTGCCCCCAGATACAGATGTACATTGAAGGTATTTAAATAGACTCCATTTAGTTTAGCCCCCCACCCCCCTTTTTAAAGTTTATTTATTTATTTTGACAGAGAGAGTGTGCATGAGTAGGGGAGGGACGGAGAGAGAGAATCCCAAGCAGAGCTGGATCTCAGGAACCCCAAGATCATGACCGGAGCCAAAATCAAGTGTTATTGGATGCTTAACTGACTGAGCCACCCAGGCCCCTGGAGTTTAGTTCCCTTCCTTGAATAAGGAACCGAGTCTTGATTTTTTTTGTTTTGAAATGAAGTGAAGGCTATAGTAATCAGTAATCTTATGAGGTTAATCAAATTAAATGAGACAATATAAGTGGATCACCTCATAAATTTCAGTTCTTTTTACAATGGTGGCATATTAAATTCAAAGAGGAAATGGGAACTGATACTAGAAGTATTCTACTACATCATTCTTGTTTTCCTGTTCCAAAAAGAATAATGGTTTCTGTGGTCTTTTGAATTATTTGATGATGTTAAAGTTTATCTTCTTTAGAGATTCAACTGCTTTATTACTAAATAGCATGAAGTACCTGTTTGTTAGTCCGGGTTCAATTGAATAGGAAGCATACTTAATATTTTTCTTGCAATTAAGTGTAGAATCTAAAAAATGTTTTTAGGAACTAATTTGAGTGCAGAAAGCTGGCATTCTTGCTTTAGGGCTTGGTTTCTAATTTGGTACCTCTCAATGATGTTAAGTTACAAAATTATTTAAACATTGGTCTTATTGCAGCAATATTAAGGAAAGGTAATACATTGAGAGATTTAAGTACTTCATGCCTCAAGGTGAACAGACTATAGACATGGGGGAGGTACGTGGGAAATACTTTGTTTTTAATATACCCCATATACCGTTAGGTTCATTGGGTTACTATATGCCTGATCTCATCCACTTTTATTTCTCTAGGAATTTGGAGTAGTCTCAAATACAAGATTGATTTCTGCTGCTACTTCTGTATGTAAGTGAAAAAAGTATATCCTGCTTTAAGGATATACTTCTTTAAAAAAGCTCCATAGAACAAAAATGTTTTTCAGTTTATGAGACCTGTGAGAGATTGGTTGGGTTTGTTAAATCTCCTGCAGTCACATTTATGGCTAGTATATTTGGCTAAAAATAAAGTGAAAATACAAACATTTTAAAAACCATCTACGGTATTATTTCTAAGACATTACTTTTAATACTAAAAATGGGTAGTAACTATTGATCCAAAAACATTAACTCAATGACTCTTTAAATAATAAGGGTTAAGAAAAAAACTTATTTTCCAGTTTTATTATATTTTATTGCTTTGTAATGACTAGCTGTTGTGTCATTCTTGTGGGTGAAGTAAACTCTTTAGTAATTGTAGTGTATGTCTTTGATAGGAATTATTTATTTTCCCTCCATCTTGAAAAACATGGTATAGGAAAAAAAATTCTGACTATAGTAGCCAGCCCCAGTTCTGTCTAAACAGCAGCTATATAACCTTGAGCAAATTGCTTTACCTTTTGGCCTTAGTTCCTTTTCTAAAAAGATGGGGTTTAGCTGCCTCTGAGTCATGACATTAAAGGAAATAACACTGTAGACCAGTGATTTTAAAATATTGTACATAAGGTATTAACATTATGCTGTGCTCCATCTTCATAGGTTAAGCACAAAGACACCACCTAATAAAAGATAATACAGAGTTTTCTTTCACTTCTGTGCTCTTACACAGAAGAGGCAGAAGGTTTTTTGTGTTTTTAAGTTTGTGAACCAGACTAATTTTCATATTTTTGGGTCATTCCCTTTTTGAGACAAGTGTCATAATCTAATTCAGTCTTTTCCATGTCATATTTTACTCTTTTAAGGGAGAAGAGTAATAATCAATTTTGCATAGAATTTAATATACCAGATATATCGCATTGATGGCGATACTGTCAACAGAAAGTAAAATTGAAGGCTCTATTTCTCAACATGAGGATGATGCCAGAATTGTGTGTTAGGAAGGTGAATCTGGTAAAATAATGTAAGATGAACTGGAGGAGAATGTGAGCTGAAGTAGTCAGATTTTGAGGTTTTTCACATGCCACAACATGGATGAGCCTTGGGGCACTTGGCTGGCTCAGTAGGTAGAGCATGTGACTCTTTATCTCAGGGATATAAGTTCGAGCCCCATATTTGGTGTAGAGATTACTTAAAAATGAAATCTTAAACAAACAAACACAGATGAACCTTGAGAACATTATGACAAGGGAAATAGACCTGTCACAAAAAGATAAATACTGTATGATTCCATTTAATATTATGAATAATTAATAGAGATAGAAAGTAGAATAGTAGCTGTTTTGGGGCTGGAGGGAGGGGGAAATGAGGAATTATTGTTGAATGAGTATGGAGTTTTCAGTTTTGCAAGATGAAAGAGTTCTAGAGCTGGGTTGTGGTGATGGTTGCACAACATTGTGAATGTATTTAATATTACTGAACTGCATATTTAAAAATGGCTAAAGATGATAAATTTTATGTAATGTATATTTTACCACAACTTTAAAACAACAAAAAATATCCCTTTAAAATACACATAAAACTGCAAACTGTAGTGAGTGCCATCACCACAGGGTGCTGTGAGAAATAAAAGCCAACAAGATTAAACTAGAAAAAAATTATTTTGAAGTTATTGAAGTGATCCAGGTAGGTACTAGTGAAGACCTAAAATGTTTTGGGAGGTGCCTGGGTGGCTCAGTCAGTTAAGTGTCCAACTTCAGCTCAGGTCATGGTCTCACATGGTCTCATGTGAGTTCGAGCCATCAGTGCAGAGCCCACTTCAGGTCCTCTGTCCCCTTCTCTCTCTGTCCCTCCCCTCGTCTTGCTCTCATGTGTGTGTGCTCTCTCTCTCAAAAATAAACATTAAGAAAAAAAAATTTTAATGATGTTTTGGCCCCCATCAAGGATAACAAGCAAGCTAGATTTGCATTACAGAGTCAGCAGGACTTTAAAAAGCAAGGATTTAAGAAGAGTCAAAAACGACTTTTGAAGGGTGCCTGGGTGGCTCGTTTGGTTAAATGTCCAACTCTTGATTTATCAGTTTGTCATAATCTTATGGTTGGGGAGATCAAGCCCTGCTTTGGGCTCCAAACTGACAGCATAGAGCCTGCTTGTGATTCTTTCTCTCCCTCTCTCTCTCTCTGCCCCTTCCCCCCAGCCCACTCTCAGTCTCTCTCTAAATAAATAAAGTTAAAAAAAATGATGAGATATTATTATGCCTGGTCACTGGGAATGTGAAGGTGCTACCAGAAGAGGAGAATAAGGGGGTTCTGAAAAGAGTTAAATTTTAATCTTGGACATTCTAAATGTAAATGTATCAGTGGAACATTTTAGAAATGTGAGGCCAGTGATAGAAATCTGGGATGATAAATTTTAAGAAAGATAGAGTTGCATAGTGTCTTGTGCTGCATGGAAGTTGTGTACCAAAGAAAAAAAACACACCTTTGGAACCAGACCTTTGGGTTTGTGATCTTTGAGAGAGAATGTAGCTGTCATTAGACATTATGGGGTGGGGGTTGACGCCGGATTGCAAAGAATTAAGCAAGTAGGTGCTGAGAAGAGGAGAATCTATATTACAGATACATGAAACAACCTCAGTGAAGGGGGTGTGGGGACATGCTGACCAAAGTAACTTTGGGGAGAAGTATAGTCTGTAAGACTAAAGGCGAAAGGAACTGCATGTAAGCACTGTACTCTAGTTGATAGATTTGATACTTAAGGTGGGTACAAGTTAACAATTCTGATACTGCTTTACTTGTATCTGGAATTAAACAATTCCACTAGATAGATACATCCATAGTAAATGGATGGCAGATATTTAGAGCCAGGTTTCTCATTGCTGGAGTGGGAATATACATATAAGCAAAGAGAGATTAGAATGATCCATGTGGTGATCAGAGACCTCATTATGAACTCATGTTTACCTTAACATAAATACACATAAATATTTATAGATATGTGGACTTGTGTGTGTGTGTGTGTGTGTGTGTGTGTAGGCTTTGTCAGTTAAGAGAGTCTATAAGCAATGACATCCCAGTTTCAGGGAGTTCACCTAGTGCCCAGATCTTTGTTTCTAATACTATTCTCCATTAAAAGGAACTAGGGCTCCTAGGAGAAATGATTGGGACAGGAAATAAACAAGATAGACCTGGAGCATCTTATAGTGCCAAAAAGTAAGGAAGTGCAAAAAAACCCAAAACAAAACCTACCTTTAATGGGGATGTGTCAGAGGGACATGGAACCCAACTGAAGCTAGAAGAATTTGTGCCAGAAAATGTTTTTTAAAAAGTAGTATTAGATTATAACCCAAAGTGTAAAATAAATATCTGCGGGTCCATACTGATATAAATAAATGATTGAATAAAAGAGAAGAGACAAATCTCTAATATGGAAGAATTTCATATAATTTATGTACCTAACTACATCCTCAAATAGGGAAAGCATAAATTTCCACTTCTTAGCTGTTGGTTGTGCATAAAGAGTTCCTTTTTCTTTCTTTTTTTTTTTTTTTAAGTTTTTAAAATTTATTTTGAGAGAGCACATGGAAGTGGGGAAGGGACAGAGAGAGGGAGAGAGAATCCCAGGCAGCTCTGTGTCGTCGGTGCAGAGTCTGTTGTGGGACTTGATCTCACGAACCTCTCATGAAACTGTGAGATCATGACCTGAGCAGAGATCAGGAGTAGGACGCTTAACTGACTAAGCCACCCAGGCATCCCGATAGTGACTTCCTTCTAATGTGTACATTGTGAAAAGGGCAGGGGGAAATAAGAGAAACCCAACAAACACTTCCTTTGCCAGGTGATTGAGATTAGTGTCAGCAGTGATAAATCACTAGGATTATGTACCTTTGATGTGATAGAATGAAATGGCACTTTCTGTCCTTCCTTCCAAAATCCCACAACACCAGTTTAAACATCAAATAAACATCAGACAAATTCCAGTAGAGGGTCAAGCAACAAAATAATACTTAAAATATATACATATATATATATATACACACACACACACACACATACATACAGTACTCTCAAAAACTGCTAAAGTCATCAAAACAGGGAAAGTCTGGAAAACTGCCACAGCCAAATGGAATCTAAGGAGACATGACAAGTAAATGTAAAGTTGTCTCCTGGATGAGAGCCTGGAACGGACAAAAGGACATTAGGAAAAAACTAGGAGATCTGAATAAACTACGGACTTCAGTTAATAATTATCTATTGATTCATTATTTATAACAATATACCATACTAATATAAAATGTTAATAACAAGGGAAACTGGGTGGGTGAGCGGTTGTCTTAGTCTGCTCAAGCTTCTCGAACAAAATAGCATAGATTGGGTCACTTAAACAGTAGGTGTTTATTTCTCACAGTTCTGGAAGCTGGAGAGTCCAAGATCAAACAGAGTGTCTGCCTTGATCATTTCCTTGATCAGCCATTTGTTTCCTGGCAAGCAGACAACTGCCTTCTCATTGTGTTCTCACGTGACAGACAGGTTACTGTTCTTCTTATAAGAATACTAATCCTAAAAAAAAAAAAAAAGAATACTAATCCTTTCATGGGGACCCCACCCTCATGACCTCATCTAAACCTAATTAACTCCCTAAAGTGCCACCTCCAAATACCATCACACGGGGGTTAGGGCTTCAGGATATGAATTTGGGGGGGACAAACATTCAGCCTGTAACATGGATGATGTGGTAACTATTATCTCTTCAGTTCTGTAAACTTAAAAAATGTTCCAAAAAATAGTCTACTTTAAGAAAGCAAAGGAATATAATTTGATAAAGGTTGTATCTACTTTTGTTTTTAAGAGAAATTTGAGCATACTAGTAAGTGATAGGACAGATTTATTGGAGGAGGACTGGTTAAAGGTGCAAAACAAAGTGTGAACTGTCAACTGAGTAGATGGGAAGCAAATGTGCAAGTGGTAGAGGTAGCGATAGAAAGGAGGGGTGCATTTTCCTCCAAGTTAGAAAAGGATTAGGAGGTAGAAAACCAAAATGCAGAGCAATTTTATCATGGAGTAGGAGAGAAGTTGACAGTGTCAGGTAAATCTTAGTAAGTTAGGTGTCAAGGTCTATGAGTTAGGGATGTAGATTTATTTAATGTAGAGATAACTTTACCTTGTTGATTAGTGACCATTATGTAAATAAATACCTGTTTTATTTGTACACTTTACATCTTGTTTACATCAGAAGGATTTGTAAAACTCAGAAATAAATAATTGGTATGTTTTCAAATAAATTAAAGGAGGAAGGAAAGGAAAGCTTGAGTATACATTTCCTAATATCAATTTTAAATGGTTTAGGGTTCAAATCTTGGCAGATGTTACCTATCTACATTAGTTAGGATACCCAGTTTACAAAATAAAACTTTTTGAAAATAAAGTACATAGAATAAATGAAAAAAAATTTAAATCTCTGTGAGGTCTTGGGCTTTGTACAAGTGGAAGGGATCACAGAACAGATCCTCTAGAGCCTGTCGGTAATCACTTGATTTAATGAAATGTTGCATCATAATGACTTGGATACAATTTTCTCAAATAGTAGTACTTAAATGTGTACACTCATATCATTTTGAGGAGATAGAGGATTGATAGTTAATAGTTTCTTCATTTGTATTTTCTTAGTGACAAAGGAGAGTTGTAACTGTACGTGTGTGTTTGTGTGTGGTATGAAAAAGTTGTAGGAACTTTTCACGTACACTTATGGTTTTATTAAAATATATCTTTTGATAAAGAAGTATCTATTACAGATAGTACAGATTAATAAAAATTCTTAAATCAGATGACCACTGTTAACATTCTTTGGTTATGGTATCCTTTTAACTTTTATGTATATTTAGAAATACATATATATTTGAACACATACATAACTTGTATCCCTTCTAAGCTGAATTACTGAAAAACAGAACAATATCATTCTAGAGCTGAAAAGATTAAAAAAATTTTTTTAATGTTTATTTATTTTTGAGAGAGCGTGAGCAGGAGAGGAGGAGAGTAATACATTAGGTATATAATTGAAGTTCTCTAATTGTAATATAGATGGGGGCCTAGGCCTTCCTGCCACTTAGTTCTTCCCCTCACCTGAAAACAAAACAAATATCTGGGTCCCTAAGCATCTCTAAGAGCTCTTACTAAAAATGATTTACCCCTTCTTCTAATATTCTACACTTGTTAAAGAAATATTGGTTTAATTTACTCTTTCATTTTCTAAGTCATTTTTTGTTTTCTGCAGTAAAAACTAGATTTTCATATGCCTTTCCAAAGGAATTCCCTTATAGGATGAACCATGTAAGTATATTATATAAAATAAAACTACTTGTCAAAGCTGTATATAAACTAGCTCCATTTTATGTTAGAATAAACTGAAACCTGTAAGTGGCAGTCTCGAGTACTACAAGAATATAAACCTTAAATCTAAAATTAAAGCTAAATTACTTCTACCAAAAAAAAAAAAAAAGTATGTAATAGCAGTGGTTATCTACCCTGGATGTTCATTAAATCGCTTTGGGAACTTTTTCATAATGCTGATATCAGGGCCTCTCCAGAGACCAACTAAAACAGAATTTTCATGCTTGAGGCCTGAGGACTGGTATTTTCTAAAATCTCTCAGGTGATACTAGTGTGCATCTAGGGCTGGGAACTACTAGAATGGAACAGTATGAAAACTATATTTGAAACTTTACATTAGTTTAGAAGATGAATTTCTATTAACGTTTTTAAGAGGCATGTCCTTTTTCTGCTTTGCAAGGGATTTCTTCATTCTATGTAAATTAGATTATTTTATTTCATTTTCAGTATTCTTTCCTTTTATTGATTTGTAATATATTAAGTAACACTTAAGTGGAGATCATTGCATTTTTGCATTTTGCATTTGTGAAGTGTATTGGAAAATCTGAAGTTTACACAGGATATTTTAAATTAAAAAAAATAGATACCCTTATATGGAACTGGCTTTTCCTCATAAGGATATAATCATAATTCCATTCATTGTAGTATAGTAAAAAGGTAATTTTTGTTGCATATGTTCATTTTCATATAAGCTGCTATGTGCTTGATTTAAAAAAATTTTAGTAAAAATTTGTGGTATTACTGTAATGTATATAAATTGTTAGACTAAGTAGACTGATTTGTTTCACATTGACATTTATAATCTTTTTATTTTTAAAACAGATATTAGAATGTGAATTCTATCTTTTAGAACTAATGGTAAGTATATTACTTCCTTGTGATTAATAGAATAAAACATGTTCAAATTTAGTGAAGTCAGAAATTATTTAAAGAAATGATTTGTAGGGAGGTGCATTTTAAAACCATCCAAGTGATACATGATGGTAAAATCATAGTACCTAGTAGCATCATCACCTATATCCTCTCAGAAGCCTGTAAAATAATTTGTATAGCCCACTTAGGATGGGAAAATTTTTCTGTACTATAGTAACTATAATAAAAGGATTACAAGCAAACTAGTCAGGACATTAAGCCACTGTAAATTATTTGCACAATTTGTGTATGTGTGTGGTGTTATTTAAAGATAGATTATGTCTTTGGCAGAATTCTCCTCCAGTTGGGAATTATGGATTTATAGGCTAATAAGAGGTTTCAGTGTGTTGCAGATGTGACACTTTGAGTCTCTAAGGGAATGGATGCTGACTGACTGCCAACCGATTTACCAAGGTATATTCCAGAGAGAGCACTGCCTTCACTATTATAGTAGAGTTTAGGGCTGCCATACTGCTTGCTTAACAGAATAAGAGGGAAGCAAGCATGAGTTAGAGAAATACATTTTGAAATACACAATTACAAATCAGTTGGGTAATGATAAGTTTTTGTGTTGTAATATATCTGTTTTTATACATACACATTTTTTAAACTGTTTCTAGGATTGTTGCTTGATAGTGTATCATCCTTATAGACCTTTGCTCCAGTATGTGCAGGACATGGGCCAAGAAGACATGTTGCTTCCCCTTGCATGGTAATTAGAACAGAAGTTATTCATAGTGTAATGTGTTATTAGCTAGGAAGGTTGACAACTGGATATGAAGTTTAGTGTTTTTAAAGTAATTAAGCTGGTGTCCCAAGATGTTGTATGTTAAATGAAATAATCTCCTTGTTGAATTTTAACTATATTGATATAAATGCTAAATTTGTAAGGATCTTTATTTGATTAATATTTCCATTAAAATTTGATTCTTATGAAAAACAGAGTACATAAAAATTAAGACATTATTTTTCAAATAGAATACTTCTGTTGGTATTCAACATACGTATTAGTTAATTATATAATTTCTGGTTTCCTCTTTGATTTTCTAATTTTTGAAAAATTGGAAAAATCCTTATATTGTAATTTATTGTAGGGTTTTAAGTTTTAGAATCTATTTAGCTGTAATTTTATTCATTAAAATATGCTTATGGTCATTTTCCTTGATATTTTTCACCTTTGTATTTGTACTTCAGTACTATTAAAGATATAAGTATGTACAAAGATGGGAAATCTGGTCCTCTCTGGGGGGAGATGTGCAATCATATAAGATAGTTCTGATTTCAGTAATAATATGATTTACATTTCTATAGGAGGATAGTGAATGATACCTACAGAACGGATCTTTGCCTACTGTATCCTCCTTTCATGATAGCTTTAGGTATGTAAGCATGGTATACCTTTATTAGTTAAATTGTTACAAGCATATTTAGATCATCTCAAAAGAAATTTCACGCTATTATACTTTATGTTGTTACATTTCATGAAGTAATAGACTAATCCTTGCATGTGAACTTTCAGTAATATGAAATGCAACTTTCATAAATTAGGATTATTGTCCCTCTCACCCCACTCTTTTGGTAAGTTTTTTTTTTTTTTAATCATTTAAAATAATTTTGACCAGTGTCTGAATAGAACATTTTTGTTTGTTTAGGAAGAAAAGTTCAGAATTAAGCCTATTAATATTACTTGTAACTTACATAGAATAACTGGGCCTTTTATTTCCTAAGCCCAACTAAGTCCTTAGAGGTGCAGTAAAGGAGCTCTGTAGTCAATGCTTTGCTGGAAGAATAAGTTAGCTACCATTTTATCTATCTGTAGAAGGCAGTGTAATGGGATAGAACACAATCTTTGGAGTTATATAGTCCTAAATTTAAACTTTGCTTACTTTACAATTGTGGGAAAAGTATTTAACCTGAGTTTGTTTTCTTAATTGCAAAATGTTGGGGATTCTAACTGCATACAGAATTGTTGCAAGAACTAAATGAACTATTAGTTGCAAGAACTAAATATCTTGTAGAGCACCTGTAATGCCTGCCATGTATTAAGCACTTACTAGTTTCTTTTTCCTATTGATTTCCATGATTCTGTCTTCTTGATTTTCCCCCTATTTTCTCACCACCTTACTTTTCATAAGTTTCTCTTTTTTCAGTTATTCCTTAAATGTTAATATTTCTCAGCCTTCTTACATTGGGGGTGGCAAATAGGTTATTATACTTTTGTAGTCCTGGATGTTCTCTGAAACCATTGTGTTTGGAAGGATTCTGAAGTGGAATCTGGGTTCATTGGGAAGGAACACATGGGTAAGAAGCAAGGAATAGCAGTCCATGTCCTGCAGTTTTGCACCCCTGCTATCTTTGTTCTTCCTGAGTAGTCTCACTGGGCCCCATGGTTTCTACTATTTCTTATGGCTTGAAACGTTTCAACTCCTTATTTAACCAAGGCCTTGCTCCTGAGCAGTTCTTTATATCTACCTTTTAGATAGCTCCACTTGGCGTCTCACTGGCACCTCAGACTCATGACCAGGACTGAACCTATCACTTTATCTAAGAAGATGTTCCTTTTAATGTCTTTGCTAGCTTGGTAAATAGCAGTAGTTAGTTACCTTAATTGGAAACCTGACCGTTAGACTCTTTCATCTCCCTCGATACTACATCTAGTTGGTAACCAATACCCGTTGTGCCTTCCTCTCAGTTGTCCTTTTGGTAATCTCATAGCCATCTTCTCACTGTTCAGGTGACCACAGCAGTCTCCTTACTGGTTAACTGGCATCTAGTATCCCTGTTCTCAGAGAGCCAGTCTGTCTGCCACAGTTGAGATAGGCTGGTGGTTCTCAACCAGAGATAATTTTGCTCCCCAGGGGATGTATGGCAATGTTTGGAGATGGTTTTGGTTATTACAAAATAACCACTGGGGCGGATACCACTGGCATCTAGTGTGTAGAAGCCAGAGATGTTGCTAAGCATCCTACAATGTACAGGCAGTCTCAAGTATCCAGCCCACAGTGTCAGTAGCACCAAGGTTGAGAAACCCTGAGCTAGGAAGAGCTTTTTATTTTATTATTTTTATTATTTTTTAATGTTTTATTTATTTTTGAGAAAGAGTGTGCACGTGAGGGAGCATGAGTGGGGGAAGGGCAGAGAGAAAGGGAGACACAGAATCTGAAGCAGGCTCCAGGCTCTGAGCTATCAGCACAGAGCCAGACATGGGACTTGGACTCGTGAACTGTGAGATCATGACCTGAGCCAAAGTCAGACATTTAACCAACTGAGCCACCCAGGCGCCCCAGGAAGAGCTTTTTCAAATCTTTCAGTTCTCCTCCCAGTTTCTGGATAAAATACATAGCTTCTTTTAACCTATACATACCATTCTCTGCTCCCACTCTCACCTTTTTTTTAAGACTTGGCTCAGATGTCTTTAGTGACACCCTCCCCATTCCCAAACTCCCTACATCACCTCAGTCCGGGTTTAGGATGTCTTCTCTGGTTCTGATTTACTCTGTGTATGCTCTGTTATGGCATTTTCCACTGTATTTCAGTTACCTGTTACTGTAATTTCAGTCCTTTGGCCTCTCAGTCTCTCCAGGACCTACACCCCACTTTACAGCTTCGTTTGACTTGGGGTAACCACTATGTCAGTTCCCATTTGAGTCACTGATTGCCTAAATTGACATCTTTAGCAAAATCATATGGGTAACTAAACCAGGGAATATAACTCAAGAAGCTGGTGTCTCAGGGTAGCCAAGCTGCTGGTAGGAATTATATCAGGGAAAATTGTGATGTAGATTGTTGTGTTGGGCTCTTTTACTCTCTTTGTTAGGTTATATTGTATGTAATGTGTATATGTAGTTGACCCTTGAACAACATGGATTTGAATTGTATAGGTCTACTTATACACAGGTTTGGGTTTTTTTTTATAGAACTGTAAATCTATTTTCCTTATAATTGTCTTAACATTTTTTTTTCTAGCTTAGTTTATTTAAGAACAAAGTATATAATACATATACAAAATATGTGTTAATCGACTATTTATCAGTAAGGCTTCCAGTCAATAGTAGGTTATTAGTAGTTAAGTTTTGCGGGAGTCAAAAGTTACATGCAATTTTTTTTTTTAATATTTATTTATTTTTGGGAGAGTGCAAGCCACGGAGGGCTGGTGAGAAGGGGACAGAGGATCCTAAGTGGGTTCTTCAGTGACAAGTTGACAGCAGTGAACCTCATATGGGGCTCATACTCCCAAACCCGTGAGATCATGACCTGCACCAAAGTCAGATGCTCAACCGACTGAGCCACCCAGGTGCCCCTTCATGCAGATTTTTTTAACTGCAGAGGGGGTTAGTGCCCCTAAGCCCCATGTTGTTTGAAGGTCAACTGTAATTATATTGTATATGATGCATTACATTTTTTTCTAGGCTCTATTTGATTATAACACTGAGTTCTATACCTGGGTGCCTGGTGTTCACCTGACTTGATCCTATCTAATAACTTAAAACAGAGGCAGCACTGCTTTTAATTGAAATATTAAAACATAATTTATTGAAATATATCAGCATATTATTGTTGTTTTTGTTGTTTTTCTCTTTAATATGTCAAACTGACTTTGGGTGTATTTTTACCACTCACCACTGTTCAGGGATCATTTCCCTGCTCTAGTTTCTTCACTGGATTTTTTCCTAACATGCCCTCACAAACAAGTATACCATGGCTGGCACACAGTAAGGAGCAGTAGATATCAAGAACCTTAATACAGTCTATTAATTTTTTCTGTTTGTGTTATATTAAATTGATGGGATGGTCACTGGTAACTTTTAGATGAGTTTATGTCATTTTTATAAGGAATATTGGAAAATGCAGATGAATATTTTAAGTGAAAATCTTACCTTTAGCCCTAAGTCCCTACATTTCATGTTTGCAGTTAAACATGGGCCTTTCTCTCATTTTCTTTCCAGCTTGTCTACATGTAGCCTGTGTTGTACAGCAGAAAGATGCCAGACAGTGGTTTGCTGAACTTTCTGTGGATATGGAGAAGGTAGTCTTTAAAATTCCCTTAATTGAATATAAGCTTGAACATTTTAAAGTTAATGTGATATTTACTTAACATGAGTCTAAAATCGTATGCTGTCCACCAGGCTAAGATGATTTTTGGTAAAAATATTAAGAAACATGTTTGGTGAGAAGAATTGATATTGACTGTTTAGGTTATATTTGTCTTTTGGGTTTACACTTAAACAGAATGGTAAACTTTTGGTTTTCTTAGTTGCAAAGCTACCCCTCATTTCTAGGATTATTGTAAAAGCTACCTGGAGACTGCTAAATACCACTGTAAACTTTTGTAACACAGCCTGCCTCCTGACAAAGTGGGTTTTGCCCTTTTTTTCTACCTTTTCTGCTGCAATGTTGATAGCATTAGATCAATCCAAGTGTAGTCTACTCAGATGAGAAAGAAAGGGCTAATTGGGAAATGGATACAATGGATTTTGTAGCTGCCAGTTTTTGAGCACCTTAACTCATATGTAATTAACGGAGAAACAAAACGACGACTTTGGTGCACCACCTCCCACCGAATTGTTTGAAACAATTGGTGTTACAGGAATGTACTCTGTAGTGGCATACTCTATCATGATTTAGACCTCTGTTCCAGTTTCCTGTTTTGTTTTGGTTTAAGATATTAGCAGATAGAAGGAAACCAACTGCAGAGATGGATAAGGATGGACAAGGTATGCATATTAAAAGATGAGAGGGTTGAAGGAGAAGCCTACAGAGCAGTGCGGTAAAAATACTGCTTTCACATTTATCAGGATTGTCTAATCTAACCCGAATACTTAAGGACAGAGATTCTGTCTTCACTGTTTCCTCAGGATGTGTGTTCTTTACATAGTACATGTTGCTTGATACTGCTACTGAGAACTTTTCAATATTTCCTTCTAGATTTTGGAAATAATCAGGGTTATTTTGAAACTGTATGAGCAGTGGAAGAATTTTGATGAGAGAAAAGAGATGGCAACTATTCTTAGTAAGATGCCGAAACCAAAACCTCCTCCAAACAGGTACTTTATAGACTTTAATTATGGATTTCATTTCATTATGTATTTCATACACATTTTCATATTTTTCCATAGATTATGTTGTATTGTTTTCATGAAATTTCTTCCAAAACTTCATGATACATATAACTTTTTTTCAATCTGACTTGATAGATTGACAGTGTCTCATTTAAAAAAATACATTAATCTGATCCTCTGTTAACTTCCTAATGCAATGGCAGGTCTCTTACAGGTATCCCTCAACATATTGCTATATACTGCACATAAATTCAAGCAGAACTAGTTCATCTGAAATTCAGGAATAAAGAATTCTGTAGTATCCCATGTCATTTCAACTCTACCTTTCCCCCTCACCCTCCACTATTGGCTATTACCCTGTTTCATAAATTTCCGTAGTGACCTGATATTGTAAAGATAAATAAAGAATTTTGGCTTTTGAGGGACTTGAAGAACTGTGGCATATAGTACCATAATTTTGCTAAATATGAATCACTTGTACTAAGAGTTTTTTGGTTTTTTTTTTTTTTTGGTTGGTGTTTTTTATGGGATCTATTCATTTAACTCAGTGGTTCTCAGCTCTCACATCAGATCATTTAGAGTAGGAAAAAAGGTGAAGGGAAATAAAGCAATGCTACCCATCTTAATCATTTATCAAGAAAAATAAGTTATAGAATGTATCAAGATAGATTTGTAGATCTGATAAGTTAATGTTACCATTTGGAAAAAATTAACTTACGCAAGGAGCTGTTTAAGGCATTCATTCAAACAGCTACCTTTGGATGCATTTTTTGCAGAAATTCCCTGAGTGATTCTCCAATAGTGGCAGGGCCTGAAGCTGCAAGATGATGATGGACAAGATAAGGCAATAATCCTATTGCCACAGTTACTGGTATTTTTCAGTTTTAGTTATTTTTAAGTATTCAGCATTTTCCAGGAAATTGCCATTTTTATTTTCTGACTCATAAATAAAAGTTTGCTGTATTTACATGTGATTTTATTACGCCTTTGGACAGTCATTTTTTCAGAAGAACACTTCTTGATTTTCATATTTGGTAGGAATAAGATTTTATATATAAGATTTAATTTTACAGGAAATTTGTTCAGAAAAAGCTCTAATCTCTATGTTGAGTGATACCTGTAATGACAGTGAAATCCCGTACCCTTATTTAAATGTTTTGAATGTATGTGGACGCTAACTTCCAGAATACTTATAATGTGTGAGGGCACCAAGTTATGGAAGAATAAAAACATAAAACCAAATGTTAGTCTTCTGTATTTTAATTTTGCAATCTGTGTCAGACAATCAGGAGTGTCTTTGTTTTGTAGAGTTTTACCATAGAGTAACTAACTTTAAAAATTAGTTGGCTTATCAGGGTGTTGAAAATGAGTCTTTTAATTGGTATAAAATCTCTTTCTTCCCCACTTGAACAGTGAAGGAGAGCAGGGTCCAAATGGAAGTCAGAACTCTAGCTACAGCCAATCTTAAAACATTCCGAAGAATTCCGTAGTGGACCAGTTGGAAATAAACCATTGGACAGATTTCAGTTATGTCTTCAATGGAACACAAATGAAAATGAATAGCTTGTTTCTGTCAAGCATATTGGGAAGTGATTTTATTTTTGCAAAATAAGTTTTACCTTACCTGATTTGATTCTAGTACATAATTGATTGAAATCTCTTGATTATAAAAGTTTGGAAAGGTTCTAAGGGGACCTACAGACAGACATACATAGACATTTCAAAATTAATAACTTTTGATTAGTATAATTTTTCTTAATTTGGATAATAGAAATTATAGCTTTTTATTAAGCCAGGAAACATGAAGCATAATTTGTCTAAAATTCTCTTTGGTCATTGAAGGACCAAAAAAAGACATAAAAAGTCAAATATATGAGGGTTTTTTTCCCTCCTTAAGTTAAACTTTAAAACTGTATTTAAGGAATCAAATCTTACAAAATCCTGGAAGATTTTGGTAACGATATTGATAATTTCAGGGAAATTAATCAAGTACCTATTGATTTAAAAGTGTATTTTATTCGTAGTTTTAGTATCTTGCCATGGAAGATACTAGCCCAGCCTAGCAGAAAAGTGCAATATGTATAGCATACTTTGACATTTTAAAAGTTATATTAATTCCATAACCATTTTGAAATGCTGGGCAAACAAAAAAAAAAAAAATCCTACATGACCTTATTTGCATTTGATTCACAGTTAATCAGGCATTTTGAAAGTTAATTGGATAAAACACCATGATATGGTTGAAATTTGGTAACATTTTAATGTTAATTTTTACTCTACTGTGAAAAGTTTTTATATGACATACACTCCCTAGTTTATTTTTGTGTCTTAGTGTGGATTTACAAATTTACTACAGGTATCCTGAGCCAGGAACACAATCAGGTTTCAGGCCAGTTTGATACTGGCCATTCTTAATTCTCATGAGTGTAGGACTTGGACAAATTGTTATGTCAGTGGGACTGTGCTGTCTGTGGAACTTAATCATTTTCTTCAGATTTGAAGGAGAGTGATGAAATTTGAAGTCATAGGATATTGATGTACAATTTAAGGATTAAGTTTTTTTATAAATCAATTGTGAACAATGGATTATTAAATTAAGTGTTGACTTCCTAGTATGAAACTTCAAGAATAAAAGTAATGTTCTCCAGTTTATGACTAATGTCTTGAATTTATCATTTTGAATCTGCCTATGTTTTCCGAGTGTCCTTCCTTTAGACGAGTTTTAAAGTCTTCTATAGTTTGTCAAGTGGGTAATTCAAATGGCTCTTAGACTGTAGAGTTTTGCTTCCTTGTGGAGAGGATCAGATAAGTTGGGGTAAAGTGGTAAAGTGGTACTGTAAAGTCAGTACCAATGATAAACGTAGGTCTTACGGGCTTACGGGCAGAATAAGAAATAAGGAAAAATGCTCTCCTCAGGTCTGAAGGAATTAAGGTTGGGTTTGAGTTGGAAGAGCGTAGTGATTATATATCACAACCACTGACTTAACCTTAAGTTTTTTTTTAAGCCTACCTATATTCTTTTAAAATTTTTATTTTGAAAGTTAGTACATATGACTTGTTTTGTTTTCACCCTCTTATTATAGAAAATTTAAAGCAACATATACAAGAGTAAATAAAATTCTGTAATGAACCTCCATGTATTTATTACCCAGTTTCCATAATGACCAGTTCATGGCCAATTTCATTTCACCTAAATTTGCGTCAACTTCCCACAACATGCATATTATTTTGAAGCAAATGCAAGATACCATATTTCCTCTATAATTATTTCAGTGTGTATTCCTAAAGATAATGGCTCTTAGAAAAAAATTTTATACCTAGAGAATTAGTTAAAATAATATTGTACTACCAAATATTCATTGTTCATATTTTCAGTTACAAATACCATGAAAAATAAATAATTCTGGTCAGGATCAGCACCAGACATTGCAACTGATTGATAAATCCTTTAAGTCTTTTAAAATTCATGGATTCCTCTTGTCTTATTTTTTAAATTCCCCTTTTTGGTTTGGTTATCTACGGAGGGTTTCCCACCATATGGATCTTACTAAATGTATCTTTGAAGTGCCATTTAACATGCTCCTTTTTCTGTATTTTCTATAAATTGGTAGTTGAATGTAAAGGCTTGATCAAGTTCAAAAAAATTTTTTTTCGAGAGGGTAGACTACTGTTAAAGGTGTCTTCCACAGACAGCATATCATGGCTGGTTGTTGCTTTCTGTGACTTATCACCTACTGATGATAAGTTGTTAAAAAAAAAGAGTTGTAGACTGTACTGTCCAGTGTGACAGCCACTAGGTACATTTGGCTGTTGAACACTGAATGTGTGGCTAGTCAGAACTGAGATGTGCTGTAAATGTAAAAATACATGTTAGATTCAATACATAATACAAAAGAATGTAAAATATCTAACATTTTAAATGACAGGACCAAATAAAACACGATTAAAATTAAATTCACCTCTTTTTAAAATGTAAGACAATTCAAAATCACATAATGGCTTTAATTCTGTTGGACTGTGCACTGTAAGACAAGGGAAATGTTAAGACTCCTGACCCATTCTCCCTACTGCTTGAGCATTCCTGCCCCCCAGAGCAACTTTTAGTTATTTCTTTGCTGTTATGTTAACTTCCACATTTACAAGTAACAAGCTTATAGCTTTTATTGGGCACTTAGGTGACAAGAATGTTCTTGGGTTTCTACATGATGAAGTCATTTAATTCTCAGAACAATTATTGTAGAGACGAGAAATGTCACAGGTCAAGAGTGACGAGCTTGGATTAGGTTCTAATTATTTTATTTTTAATTTTAAAAATGTTTATTTATTTTGAGAGAGAGAGAGAGAGAGAGAGAGAGAATCCCAAGTAGCCCCCACACTGTTAGTGCAGAGCCTGATGCAGGGCTCAAATTCACGAGCTGAAAGCACCAGTTGGATGCTTAACCAACTGAGCCACCCAAGCACCCCAGATTAGGTTCTCTCTCTCTTTTTTTTTTTTTTTTTTGGAGAGAGAGAGAGCATACACAATTGGGGAAGGGGCAGAGGGGTGGGGAGCAGAGGATCCAAAGTGGGCTCTGTGCTGACAGCAGAGAGCCCAATGTGGGGCTCGAACCTGTGAACCATGAGATCATGACTTAAGCCAAAGTCTGGTGCTTAACCTACTGAGCCACCCAGGTGCCCCAGGTTCTAATTCTTAAAACCTGGGTAGCTGCCCGACGCCCCCCCCCCCCCATGTTCTTAATTACCTTACTGCTTCCTATGTTTACCCTCCAGCTTTTTATTTTGATTTTTTTCCCAATAGTAAAATTATCTATTAACTTCCTAACTTTCCTATGGAAAATGAAGATTTCACTTTCTCACACACCTCCCTCTATTCTCTTGCTTCCACTTCCTCACCAACCTGGTTCTACATTAAGACTTCTACTCCCATTGTCTTCCCAATTGTGTAATTTTTGTTAAATTCATACTCAGTGTATATCAAGTATATATGTATAATGTGTTCTGTAGTGTACTGTGGTTACATTTCTTTTAGAATATTTTTGGCTTTCTGAAAGGTTAGTAATGCCTTCGTTGTAATTTGCTCAATTTACTTTGTACATTTTATTAATTTGTCACCAGAATCATTTATAATTCATTTACTCCCTAAGTCACTCATAGGGAGACATTCTTCCCTGGGTCCTTTATCTTTGTTTAGGTATACAAGATATGAGGAATACACTTCTTTTTCTTTGCCTTTGTTTTAATGTTTTTTTTTTTTCATTTTTATTAATCCTCGTCAGCTGTGTCTAATCTGTTAAGCCCATCTACTGGGTTTTTAATTTCAGTTATTCTTAAATTCTAGAATTTGTTTGATACTTTTTTGTAGTTTCCAACTACTTATTACTTCCATTAATAATTTTTGTCATCTAAGTTATTGAAAATACAAAGCATAGGTATTTTAAAAGTCTGGGGGCAGGGGGTGCCCAGGTGGCTCAGTTGGTTAAGCATCTGACTTCGGCTCAGGTCATGATTTCACAGTTCATGGGTTTGAGCCCCACGTGGGGCCCTGGGCTGACAGCTCAGAGCCTGGAGTCTACTTCAGATTCTGTGTCTGCCTCTCCTCTGCTCTCTCTCTCTCTCAAAAATAACATTGAAAACAATATAAAGTCTGTCTGAAAATGCCAACATGTCAATTATATGTAGATTTGTTTTTAATTTTTTTTATGTTTCAATTGTGAGGTCCTATTTACTGCCATTTCTTTTTTTTTTTTTTTTAATTTTTTTTTTTCAACGTTTATTTATTTATTTTTGGGACAGAGAGAGACAGAGCATGAACGGGGGAGGGGCAGAGAGAGAGGGAGACACAGAATCAGAAACAGGCTCCAGGCTCTGAGCCATCAGCCCAGAGCCCGACGCGGGGCTCGAACTCACGGACCGCGAGATCGTGACCTGGCTGAAGTCGGACGCTTAACCGACTGCGCCACCCAGGCGCCCCAACTGCCATTTCTTTAGTAAAAGGTGAAAGATTTATGCGATCTGAAGAGAAACCAGAGTATTATTTACTGCCATTTCTAATAAATGTTATAGAATTCCGAACATTGAATACAAAGAAATGTAGAGAATATTTATGGCTCTGGCTCAGGGGTCTATAAACTATGTTTCATGGGCCAAATCTCACCTGCCATCTAGTTTTGTCTGGCCATTGAGCTAAGAATGTTTGCCATATTTTTAAATGGTTGAAAATAATGAAAAGAAGAATATTTGGCAACACGTGAAATAGAAAATTTGAGCCTAAGTGGCCATAGTTTTGTTAGGATACAGCCACACTCATTCCTTTATGTGTTGTCTGTGGTTGCTTTGTGCTACAGTAGCAGAGTTGAATAGTTGCAACAAAGACCTTATGGCCCACAAACCTAAAAAATTCATTACTGCCAACCCTTTGCTCTAGCTAGCTAATGATGTCTTTCTCTAAGAGGGGATTTACTTCTGGTAGGCTCCTAAGATCACCTTAATTCATTCAGTGATTTAGTGGATTCGAAGCTGGTCTTACATTTTTATGAGGGTTGGACAATTTCTGGTTCACCTTTACTCCTAAGGTATAGTTTCCCAGGGGTTCCAACTAAACATCTGGTGTATTTACCCAGGGTCTTTACCCAGGTTCTTATTCCTGGATGGGCCCAGTAGTTCAACGGCAGTTTCCCTTCTCTCCGAGAGATTCTCTCTCTCTTCAAATCTTCCCACCTTCTTATGTTTGTCCTAGTAATATTTGTTTATATAGATCAATAAATAAGATTTGTTTAAAGGCATGAAGGAACTACTAAAGCAGTGAGGCTTTGAAGAGCTATACTCCAGGGAAAAGGAAAGCTATAGAGGATGAACCAATATTGGAACGTGCCTGTGTGTGTGTTTATTTTCCACCTCTTCTAGCTCCTGCTAGAAATAGACGGACATTATCAGAAATAGAAGTTCGAGGTGGTCACATCATTCCTACCCCAAATTTTCCAATGGCTTAATAATATCAAACCAAGTCCTTATAGTTGCTTCCTAGGCCTTACATGACCTCAATGACTACATAAATGAGACTGAACATATTTGGGTCTGAAGAGGCACAGATGGAAGAAAGCACAAAGTTGTTTTACCACTAGTGCACTAACAAACATAGGAGTTGACATTCCAAAGGCATATATTCATGCTAGTAACAGTTATTTACATTTAAATTTTTTTCATATTTTCATTATTTTTAATTGAGATATAATTACAGAAAATGTATGTTTTCAAGTGTTCAATGAGTTTTGATAAATGTATTACTCTATGTACCAACACATCAATCAAGATATAAATCGTTTCCATCACCCTAGAAATTTCCCTCCTTGCTTTTTCCAGTTAATCTTCCCTCTACAGAAGCAATCGCTATGATTTCTATTTTTATAGGTCATATTAATTAATTTAAGTTGCAAGTTATATTGCTACCATACTGGTTACAACATTGCCATAAGTCTTTGGGGGGTGTTAATGTATTTTCATTATTCATATTTCACCTACTTTTCTAGAGCTCAGATTCTTGGTGTTTTAAGACAAAGTCTGTTTGTTTGTTTTTACTTTTATAGACCTCTGCTAGAAATCCAACATCTTCAGAGAAGAATCGCATCTATTTTATTATCTTTTTAGCATTTG